CTACAGTTCTCAGATGCCTAGAGAAGCAAACATTACTGTGAATTAGTACATGCCTTCTAAACATATTTAGTTAGTCTACTCTTGTCCCTGTCAAAACGCTTTTTCTGAAATGGAGTCCGAAAAACACTCACTATAACCACACTTTTTACAAAGGGAAGAGAGGGCCTGCCCAGAACTTTCAGGAGCTTGAATGGATGTCAGTCACAGATACTATGCCCTGCCTGCTGCACTGGTGTTCCAGCGCTGCTGCCAGGGTCCTCTGCCTCACAGCTTTGTGTCACTTCCTTCACAGGGGTTTCTTGGCACAGCAGGAAAGGGTTAAGGAAGAAGTTTCAGAACATTGTAACACTTTACTGGTTTCGTAAGATTTCAGACCTCAAATGCTTTTCTAGACTCGGCCAGGTCATGTAGAAGAAAGTAAAAGGAAACCAAAATTCAAGGCTGAAGAGAAATACTAATTCTTTTTAGAAAGCTCTTCTGAACTATGAGTAGAAAAAGTTGAAAGAACCACTTTACATTGTATCAGTATAAAACAACTTTAATGTCAGATTTTCTAATCTACAGTAAGCTGAATGAGAAAAACCTTCACAAAAATATACAGTACTTCGTAAAGTTAGAGTGCATTCTCTTTCAACATGGTGAAAGTTTTTCATATAGTCAGAGTAACAAACTTGCAGAGACTTGCAGAGTCTAATTTTTAAGCAGTTCCTACACACTGCCTTCTATATGTATACAACATCAATACACTTGCAGATGTGTAAGGTAACATACTTGCAAGTGTATTGTATTTTACACAGATTTTGTATTGATAAGAAGACTGTTCTGCTGCTTACAATCACAAACGAACAGAAGTAACCAGTTAACACTGATTAATTAATACCTTCTCAAGAACATTATAGCTACATCACTTGTAAATGGCATTGTTCCAAAGTGAACAAATTTCACATATATGGAGCCCAGCCCATATACATCTGGCAGAGCAGGTTGTCATCACTCGCTTCTTGAATAAGGTAATGAACATGCCCTTCAATAGATAAGGGTAATCCTTTTATTCTGTTTCTAGTCTTAATGACACCTTGCAGCCGCTGTTCTATATCAAGGACATGGGTTTTGGCCTGGAAATAAAGAAAAAGAAAAAAAAAAAGTAATATTGCTACTAGTCATGAACTTCCACTTCTTAAAATAAAGAAGTATTTATTAGGATGTATTTGAAATCTGTATGCTAATTTAATACAAACCCCAGATGTCTACACCAGTTACTTTGAAAATAAAGGATATTCACTTTTTAGAATACCTCTTGAAATAGATATATTATTGCTCAAGTTATAACTTTTGCCTTACATTTTTACAGATAAAATTTACCAGAGAAGACTGAAAAAGCTATGCAAGTGTATTTGAAAACATTAGAATGCTTTATTTCATACAATTACTTTCCAATAAATGCAAAACTTTCCCAGCCTTTTTCTTGGAATTTTGGATAAAGTTAAAGAAGATACCTAGTCTGGAAAATTTAGGTCAAAATTATGAGCAACTGAAAATGAAGAAGTCTAGCACTGGGTTGTGCTGTGTAACTCAAAACGAGCTGTTGTGCTCAGCTAGTTTACGCCACTCGAATAGCTAGTTCACGCCAATTACAGTCGCACGCTTTCTTCTAAACCTCAAGCATAACATTGGCACCTATCCAGAAAAAAGTTAACATCTACAGCTATGTGAGTGGTCCTGGAACTGTAAGAAAGGTTATGTAGACACAGCCTGGTTAGTCATTGCTTGAAGACCAGGAGATCTCCTGTCCTCAAATAGCTCAGTTAAGTTCTTTATTGTAATATAGATGTAGTTTGTCCTTATCTTAGTTGCCGTGTTTATCACTGTTTCCTAAGTTTTATCTGCTGTTACACAAATTTATTTTCACTAAACATTCCTTTTAAAGCAAAAAGTGACAAATCAGAATTTTTGCAAAGGGGAAAGAGAATAAATATTACAGGTAGTGCAAGCTATATTTTGGATGAACAATATAGTATTTATCAGCAGCTACAAAAGAAACAGTACATATGAAATCCTAATTTTAACCAAGTATTCCTTGACGTGTAACAAGGCATGTATTTATTAAATAATAAACATCCACTCATGAAAAGCACAAAAATACACATGGAAAGGACTCCAGATGTTACCATCACTGTAAATCTGGAGGACTCAAACAGTCAGACTCAACAGTCAGAGTGAGGAGTAACAAGAGCCTCACCTCTCCTATTGCTTCTGTCGATGTTGTCCTTGATTTAGTAACAATAATAAGAGAATTATAGGCCCTATTTCGCTTGGTTCTTTAGTAGATAAGTTACATTTTCTATCAATAAGAATAGTTTCTTTATGGATAAAAATGATGAACACGAAGTAATCAAGAAGAAACAATCAGAGGAATTTTTAAATGAAAGAAAAAACAAGACAGTTAAGGTTTCAATTAGAAAATATATAACAACTTGTAACCATAATGGATATTTGAATACCTTATGCTATACTTGTTTTAAACTAACCTTTTCATTGACAACTTCTCCAGTTTCGTTCACCTGTGCTCTTGTATTCCCCTTAACAGGTTTACTCCATTCCACAAGAGGATCATGGAGAAAAGTCTTTAAAACACTAAATAAATCAAAAATAATAAAAAGGATAAGGTACATATAATACATTTAATTTTCAAAACAACACTGAAAGGAGTCTGAAGTTAGCACTTTATATTTATATTGCTTTATTTTCAACTGGATGTCGTAGTATGACTGAGCTGCATGATAGGCATATGCTGGAACTGGCATACTCACCAGCAGTTACTGTTTCAGATGTTTAGACTACAGACAGCTTTTTCAGAGATTGCAGCAAAAACAGTTGCCCTACCTCATTAGAGGCTCCCTTTGATCACGCATAAGCCTCATTGTGACTTCACAAGCTCTTCGAAAGAGACCTTCTGTTCCCATGGGACCCATTCCATTAACCATGTTGTGAGTGAGACGAAAAGGTACAATTTCCGGAACTTCAAAAGTTTCTCCCTTTACATTGATAAAAAAAAAGTATGCCCTAAGCGTTTTAAACATTTTTAAAGGGTAACGTTTGCATTATTTTAGTTTTTTTTCCCCCATCCTTGTCTGTGGCAGTTTCCTAGCTGACAAGAGATATTTGCTCCAATCATGGTCCTTCTCAGCTGCTAAAGGGAAACTACAGTGAATAAAGGATACCAATGACCAAATAATCTCTCTTTTTCTCTGTTTTAATACACTAATACAGGACATAAAATTTTGTTCTAAATATATATTGCTGCTCTGTAGTCGCATGCAAAATGCTAACTTTCCTTTCACAATATGAAAGTTAGCTTAAAAACATTATTTTTTTTTTTTTAAGGATTACGCAGGACAATTTAGGCTTACTAAAAAGAAAGCAGGAGAAATAAACTAACAGTATTCCTGCCTCACTTCCCTGAACTTAAAAGGGCACACAAAAAGCATCCTTCAACAGAAACACAAAATCTCCACTCTGGTCACAATTTCTACTTGTTTATTTTTACAGAACCATTGGAATTTTTGTGCTGAATTTGTGTGAAACTCTTCATAACAACAGAATTCTGAATGTAGTAATTACAGCTTTGTTTGGACAGTAATAGTGGAGAGAAGAGAGTCACAAAGTACAAACACTCTAAAATTTGGGCTACTTCATTATATCCACATCAGCTCATCTGATACTGGCTAAATCAAAAAGCTGGCTTTTCATGAATGCAGTTTACAGAACAACCACAGACTCTTCACAAATCCCAGACTGTTTGTTTGGTATAAATAAGAAACAAAGTGAGAGAGATAACACAACAGATATGATGAAGTAAAAAAAGTAGAAAACAAACAAGACAGAAATTTGTAACTTATACGCACATAAAAGAAAGAGCAAGTTCAGCAAGTGGCATTTCTCACCTTATTGAAAAGGCAGTTGAAGTCCACATGCACACATTCACCAGTCAAAGAATCAAACAGGATGTTTTCACCATGACGGTCTCCTAGACCAAGTATGTAACCTACCATTGACATAACTGCAACAGAACGACAATAGGCTGACCTACTGTTGTACCTGCAGAAGTATAAATCAAATATGTCTAAGTCGCTTCCTGAGGTTATTCATCTTTACTCCGTAGTATCATTAATGTTAGTGAAATACACAAAGTAGATATTCTTGAGCTAGCCCGATCCCAGTCACTCACCATGAAGTAGGATCAGGAAACGTTCTAAGAAACCATTCATGAAAGAGAGGAGGATGACGAGGCAGAAGGACTTCTTTGAACATTTTCAGCTTTTCGGACAAAGGTGCTGACTTTGGAAGCATATGCTGACGCAATTCTTTTCCAGTCATATAGATACCTGTAATAGACCTCCTCAATTAGGCAAAAGAAATCCTCAAATATGAACCCTATATGGACCTACAATATGGTATTTTAAAGAAGATAAACATCTCCATAAAGTTGAAATAAATGGACAAATGGAAAATAATCCACAGAATATCTTGGTGGTGGGGTACTGGAAAGTAAATAAAGAAATCATAACGCTAACTGAAAGAGAAGACCTGGCAAACAAGCCACCATGGGGTGGAGTGTGAGGAAATACACATACACAAAAAAAACCCACAAAAAACAAACCATACCCTCACAAAGCCATTCAGTATATTCAGCTGAGATGTTTGGAGTTCCAAACTCCCAGATGTCTGCATACATCCAGATAATGTGCGAAATTTTCCCCCGAAATTTTACTGCACTGACCAGAAAGTTGCTTTGTTAACAAAAACCTAAAAACTAAATTTTATCTTTTCCCTTGGAAGTTGCTGTACCCTCAACCTTGATTCAATTATAAATTATCTTTTTTATCTCACACAAGTCTAACAGAAATGAAAAACAACAGATCAAATTTAAAGAAAAAATCTTCAGTCTTGTCTTTTATTCAGTGCTGCACATACATTCCCTTGCTGCTGGCACTGCTGATGAAATGATTTACAACACTCTATAAAAGAATGTATTAAGATGATTGTGTTATCAGTTCTCATGAGGAACTTGTTTATTGCAAGCACCAACTCTCTTCCATTTCAGACAAAAAGTCTACCACAAATACGAAGAATAATGCATTGCAAATAGTTAAAAATACATGTGACTGCATATTCCTAGAGTTTAGTCTAATCCTTGCTGTTTGTCTCATTTACTAATAAAGGTCCAAGCCCTTTAAAAAAAAAAAAAAAATATCATTATGATCAAACACATTTCTTTACCTTTCTCCTTATAAAGTTTTATCAGGATATTTCTTAAACCAGCAGTATTGTTCACCCATTCAATTATGCCACATTCATCATTTAATGGAATAACTGCGTAGGTTCGAATATGGAGTTCTCGCCTACGTGACTCCGCATCTTTTCTTAAGCACTATTCACCAAAGAAAAATGAGATTAACATAGATAGGATCAAAACATACCAATAACATTAACCATTCTGTATACATATATCTCTATATATCTATTTTCCAGTCACACAATCTAGAATCTAAAATTCTGAGCTTCACTGTCTGTAGTAGGTCAAATGCAAGAAAAATGCTCACCTGTTCTCCAAAGTAAATTAAAAAAGAGGATTTTGCAATAAAATAGTCGAACTGCATAACTTGTACATGGCTTGAATACCTTAAAAGCGGTATTTGAAATAAGTGATTTAGCGTTTCAGAGATGCTATCATTTGTTTAACCCAATGGAAAACATGTACCTTAACTGTAAGCATATCGCTGAGAAGCAAAATGTTACTAAAATAAAAAGTATGGCAACATTTTTAGTGTGAAAAGATGGATTTACCTGTTTTTTTATTAAAAATATTAGAAAATACTGAATAAGAAATATGAAATATAACAGCAGAAAGTTTGCAGTTATTTACTGTAAATAACCTTTCTTGTATATTTTTGCTGGAATAAGCAATAGTTTTGCCAAGATGTTATATTTTGTTATTGTTTTCACAACTCTAAGAAATTATGTTATCAATTGCTATTGATTTCCACTGAAATGAGATATTTTGCAACAGTTTACTTTTCTTCCAGTAAGCTTTATCTCCAGGTAAGTTGGGGATTTTTTGTTAAATAGTTCAGCATTTTGTTCTGCTCAATAAGTATAAAACATCTGATCGTCTAACTCATCAAACCTTATTAATAAGGGAGTTGAATTCCATGAGCCGACAGTCCTTTCTTAGATCATCCTTTGGCTTACACATCATAATGTAAGATTTCCCATCTGAGCCTTTTAAGGTGATTTTTTTTGGCTTTTGAAGTGAGGCAAGAATTTCCACCTAAGGAAAAAATTAAATTCTTTATTAACATCTGTATCAGATCATAGAAAGTAAAGTGTCTAACTGTAATAAACCACTGCAACTGATCACGTTAGCACTTCCACGGTGCTACAGCGTATTATCCTCAGGCCAAAATTTTATGTAAGTACGAAGAGGCCACATCTGTCTCAGGCTGTTATGACAGAAGCCACTCAGTTTCCATGAAAGTAATTACTAAGTTTCCTACTCAATCCTCCATTTCTAGGGAACTAAGATATATTTGCAGCTACATTTGTTTAACATGAAGTTTAAAATGAGGTGCCAAGTAGAGCCTTACCGTATCATCAAAGCCTGCAATGTAGGCCCAGCATCCAGGAAAAGGGTCATGGTTAGCATGCGTGCCAGGAATGGAAGGAAGAGTTGGTATCATTACAGATTGTAAGGGAATGAGAATTTCACTAAATGTGTGCTCTTCTACTAATCTCTTAAGTGTTTTGAAATGAATATTCATGCTTAACGTTGAGCTGTTTCCATCAACCTTGAAAAAAAAATCAATAGTTAACAATAAACACTTAAAATATTACTGCTATTTCATATTAACTAATGAATACAATAGACTAACAAATGCTTATAGTAATAAGAAAATTGGCAAATGACATTTCAAATTAAATGAGAGTGGTAAAAAGTAAATATACATGCCTTTATGGCACATGTATTTTTCACTCTGAATGCAAATACAGAATAATTAAAGAATTTATTTAGTTTTACCTTTATTATCAAGTTCATTTGTTCATGAAAACACAACCAGCCTATTTTCATAATAAAACTCTGTGAAAGTTACTGGGCAAGAATCACACATGAAAGCACATGACAATGTAAAGCCCATGCACTCTGGAATGTACCATAATGTACTGAAATATTCTGCAATGTGCTCTATATAGAGCTACTTTCTACATTTTTTTTTTTAAATATTTTTATTAAGTTAAAAAAAAAGTCTTTTAGAAGTTAGTGTAGTTTCTGTTGAATTGCAGTAATGTAATGAATCGGCTAATGAAAGCCACAGGAAGGAGCTTTTGTATAACAGTTTTGAATAATTCCATTACATGTATGAATTTGTTTATTTTTGTAAGTACCGGTTTGTTGCATAGTTCTAATAGCTTATCTGTAAGACGTGTTGCATCTCCAATAAATTTTCCTAAAGATTCCTTCATGTGAATAGCTTTGTTTAGAATTTCCTTACATCTATTGACACGCATAGGGTACGAGGACTGAAAAAAGAGGAAAGTTAAAATTTATTAAACAAGTCATATCAATTAAAGAATCCTAAAAAAAAATCCCCCAAAAACTCCACAGTAATTAATACATCCTTTTCACTACTTATTGCTTGTCATGTTTAATATGTGGAGAAGGATGTTCTCCAACTGAAATTTGGTACCTGAACAAGTACTACAGTGGTACGGTTGGCCCGTGTGCAATAGTGTGGGGTATTACTTTCTGAAATTATTCTTGGGAGTTCCACAACATAAAGGCCAATATTCAAGAATATACCAGTGTATCCTCAATGTCATTTCAGCATCCTTAAAGAAACAGCATGCACCGTGCTTTCCAATTGTCTTTGGAATGACCTTACTATCAGGTAAGTACTAGGACTAAGTGGTACATCTATCTCACGTTGATCAAGGCACAGAGTTGCTTGTCTGATTGTAAAACTGGAAGCACTATTACAATTACTAAACCCAACAAAATCTGTTGTCCCTGACTACTCAATTCATCAGCTATTTTATTCAAAATTCCTTTCCTAATACATCATACAAGTCAGGATGCATGTTAGCATTCTAATTTGGAACATTTCAACTGTAATATCTGAACTTTAGACTGCAATAAAATCTTTTGCAGTGATAGCACTGATATCCTGTTCCATAACACTATCACAGCAATGGAAACGCTCAATTCCTCTTTATCATCTCAAAGTAGAACAGGTGATATTCACATTTCTCTCTGATGAACACAGTTTTACAAACTTAATAATGGTACAGCTATACTTATCAAGGTACCTTGGACACAGCGGTCATCATCCACATTGCTTGCTGTGGATAGGCTAAAAACACTTTAGCAACAATCACCATCAAAACTGCAAAGACTTCATCATGAGAATGGCAGATTCGGGAGATTAACTGAGAAAAAGCTGTCAGAAACTGGTAAGGTGCCAGGTGATTTGTGTGCTCTGCAATCACCTTATTTATTTTAGCTAAATCGTTTTTCATTTGGACGCGTTCTGAACGACTAGCTGAAAAACACAAGAGGACAAGATTATGTTCCTTTTTCCCCCCAATAGAAATGTAAAGTCATTTAAATCAAGCCTACAGAAACATACTTTGTTGGTAATTTTCATACACAAAAAAATTCAAGGAAAAGGTCCTACTGTAAATTTCTTTTTAATATAGCATACAATGACTTAATACATATGCTATTTAGTTAACCAGAAGAACAAGAAATAAACAAGCACAGACAACAGGAACATGGAACAGACAATATTCAAAAAGCTCTCCTTACACTCTTAAAATAAAACATCTATTACTCCTTTGAAGCGATGCAATGGCATAGAACAAAACCAAAAAAACTCCATGCATTTTCCCCAGTAAAAAGATTCTAACATTCTTTAGTGGGGAGGAAACAAAGAAAGTCTTTATAAGGGATGAAATTAGCACATCTGCTGCTATCTCCACCCTGCACCTGAGGACCCAGCATGAGTTGCACGTCAACAACAGATAAAATAGCATCTGATGTGCCTGTAGCCAAATGCAGTTGACCTAAGTGTACAGAACCAGGCCAAGATCAAAGGAGCCACAACTGTCTGTTTCACTCCAGAAACTCCATTCCACAGGCAATGTTTGCAATTTTCGTTTGTACAAAAATTTCCCACCCAAAACACACCTATGGTAGTAGTTTCACATGCCTTCATGCTGCCCACAGGATTCTTCCTCCCTTGCCCCGCTTTAGATTTACATAAGACTTGTTCAAAAACTGGAACCAAGGCCAACTGGAAAAAAGTCCCAAAGCCTAAAACTTTACTGTAGCAAGTGTATACAAAACCACTACTCATGAGGCAAATTACAAGAGGTGACAGGTGACATGCAAGGATTTTCCCTAAATCTGTTTATCAACTTAAGTTACCTGAGGAACAATGCTATCACATGATATATTTGAAAAAAAAAAAATGGAGGGTTTAATTAATATAATTAATATCTCTCCTGTATATTAATATCCTGTAATTTTAAAGAATACTAGTACTTTCTGGTTTCCATATAATCTCAGGCAATAAGTCTAATCAAAGAACTGTAAATATACTTCACTGCTCTTTCAATGATGTATTTAAAAGTATGACACAGGAAGCATGTACTGGAAAAAAATGTTCTACCTTTATCACATTCATACGCTTTTGCTCCGAAGTCCAGCCATAAAGACAACATTCTTGGCATTGACTGATAGATGAACTGATTTCCATACTGTAGAGACCTGTGATTACAAGTTTAATATCACAACATGTTAATGGATATATATTAGAAGCATTACAAACTTTACATCCTTAATTGTTTCATATTCCATTCTGGACTTTAGAAATTTACCTTCGGCGTTTTAATGCATCTGCACCAACTAAAAGCTTACTAATATACAAAGGTTTTTGTTTTATTAATCAAAACATCAGATTAAACAATTAACTGTCTTACACAAGACAGACGACAATTGCACAGTCAGAAGGCAGAAGTAAAATTAATTAGGTAAGAAAACAAAAGGAAGCATGCAGTATTTTCTTTTACAATACTACATGAAAATTTGAGTCACAGTCTAAATTGTTGAAAGACAACATATTCCTATAAAATGTATAATTGTCATCCTTCTATAGAAACTAAGCAAAGTTCCCCTAGGGTCTAACCTCCCAAAATGATGAACTATGTATCGAATCAGATCTCCTTGTTTTTCTATCTTGTTGTCAGTTACCATCGGCATTAATTTATCGTAATATTTAGCAAGATAAAAATGTCCATCTTCCCATTCTGGCAAGAAAATCGTAACATCCTGCAACAAAATCAAAAAGAGATAATTACTTTTGAGAGGACACTAAATTTAAAATAAAAAAAAACAAAACAGTAATTAAAAAACTATTTTCAAGCAACAAGAATCTTGTATTAGTTACCTTTATGCATAAAAGGTAAAAACTGTGACTTTTTAACTCCAAAATTTTAATTTTGACCCAAGATAAACGCCTGTACAAACTCCAAGTCTGTTCTCAAAATACCTTTTAGATTTGGAGACAGCAAGATAATTTAAGACAGGACGATATAGGATTCCTCAACTAGGAAAGATTATAGTTTCATTAAAAATATTATAATCAAGTTCCTGATCCTGACAAACTCAATACTAGGTTTCTTCTAGTTTTTTGAAAGGTGAAACAGCAGGATGTTATTCACATTTCTGTTTTCCCTCTAAACACATGATGTTTAAAAAAAACCCCAAAAATTATGTGCCATATATTAGAAAAGAAATAACTTAGCAAGTGGCACGTTCATTCTCTAGTAACACTGGCTTGTTTCCAGTGTCCATATTTAGACAGTAGAGAATTCTAAGCATTAGTATTTTAATATAATCCATTGAAACTTCATTAGTTTCCATTATTTCAACCTCCATTTGATTTCATAGTTGATTTCTCTAAATGACTGTCACAGAAGTATTTTAATTAGTAAGACAGCAATAAACATTAACAGTATCAAATGCCAAAACTTGAGTAGGAGACACACTGCTTTTAAGAAGTCTAAAGATCTGTATCTACTACTGGTTTAGTACACAATCATTAATGTCAAAACGGTATTTCACTGGCATAGCAAGATGAAGCAGTGTAGTGCTGTGTCGTTGAAGAAAAAATACCAGTGGCCTCTTTTCCTGGTTCTTCAGAGCTAGGAAGCATATTTAAAGCACAGTTATAAGCCACCACCAGAGAGAGACGTAACACTGAAGAGTAGCACAGTGTGTCATCAAGTTTTCTCACTGTCTATTTACAGTAGCCCGCATTTTAGAGAGGTATTCTAATTTGTGCATGCACAAGTAAAAAGCCATGCTCCTGTAATTTGTTTTGTACTTTCAAAGAGTTATATCAGGTATTTTTAGCCTCCACTGTTGGGAACTGTAGACTTCCCTGTATTGACGTGTTACATTAAAGCTACTTCAGATAGTTAAATCTTTACAAGAAGAACTACTTCCCTCCTACACATTGATACACCATTTAATCCCATTGTTATTATCCTTGATTGACATCATCAGGAATGTAACAATAGCTTACTTAAGGGATATATTATTACTATTCTTAATCAAAACTACTGTCTTGTTAACACTAGTATATCAAATTTACCTTATACTTTTTCATAACTGCATTGCTTTCAAAGTTAGCAGTTTCTTCCATAAATCTGCCCACTAGCAGCATTGCCCGACCATGGATGAGCTGATTTTTGGTACTGCACGGTGCTTTATTTTCAGGGAAACATAACTCTACCCCCTTCTGGAGAACAATGAGTGCTTGATGAACCTCACCCTAAGGG